ATCATAAAAGGATAAATGTATTTTTTTAGAAAATGATGATTCAATTACAAGACACTTGTGGAACATATAAAGGTCCTGTTCCAACTTCAAAATCAGTAAGGGAAGGCAACCTTTATGCAGCTGAACACACAGATGGTCATTGGTATAGGTATAAAAAAAAATGATTTATGAATATATGTTTCAAGTTTAAGCTTTTCAGTATAAAAAGTGCTAATGGTTATCTATAATTTTTATTTTTACATTACTTTTAAGGGTATGCATTTCAAGTATAATTAAAGAAAACATGGTTAGTGTTTACTTTTGCGATTTCGGGGACGTATCAGTACTGCCACTAAATAAATTACAACCTTTGAAAAGTCAGTTTTTAGAACTACCGTATCAAGCTATTAAAGCAAGACTTGCTGGTATGTAATTGTTTTCTTTTCCAGTTTTAATTTGCTTTTAAATTGCAAAAAATATTTTACTTCGTAAATTTTGTTAATAATTTAAACAGGCATACGACCGATTAACGTTGACTGGTCTGTTGAAGATAGTTTAAGGTTTCAAGAATTGGTTGTGGAAAAAAATTTTGTATCAATAGTTGTTGAATCTAAGCCTGATGGACTTTCTCCAGCTAATACTGTATTGGGTTTAAAATTGATAGATGTTAAGACATCTGAAGATATTTATATTGATCGACTTTTAGTAGACGAAGGTCGAGCTATATTCATTGATTAAGGAGTGATGTATATGCATAGTATGTATACTTGAATGCAGTTGATAAAGAAACAAGACTATCGTAGCGAAACTAATGATTAAATTAGTTTCCGACTTTTGGTATGAAATACATGTATCTACAGATAATTGATTCCTACGTTTGTGCTAAATGAATTTTGTACAGTTTTACGGTTTTTCTTTTGAGGATATAGTTGTTTGTATATAAATACATTTCTATTTAGTAGATTTGCAAAACACTTGGACTTCGATAATAGTTCGAAAACAGAAGTATGAAAATGACGGAAGCTATGCAGGGTGAGGTACGTAAAGCATGACAATTGAATATTATTGAAAATATTAGTAATATGCAAAATTGTTGTTAGAAAAAATTGAAGTATTTTAGGGAGCACGCTTTTCGATTTAATTTAATTTTTTGTATATGAATATAAGGATATTTCAAGGTCATTACCATTTTTTCAAAATGGAATTGCATATTTTTTTAATATATGTAAGTATAGTTCACACCAAGACGAATTCAATAATCATATTCACACAAGATCAATCAAGGTCATAGGTAAAGAAAAAGCGGTTCCATCTTTTCAATGGCATTTATTTGTAATACTGTAATACTTCTTGCCTATATTAAAAAAATATGTAATTCTATTTAAAAGAAAGGTAATGACCTTGAAATATCCTTGTTATCTTCACATACAAAAAATTAAATTAAATTGAAAAGTGTGCTCCCTAAAATACTTCAATTTTTTCTAACAACAAGTTTGCATATTACTAATATTTTCAATAATATTCAATTGTCGTGCTTTACGTACCTCACCCTATATAAATATGTGCGCGCGACGCGTGTATGTAACTAGATTAATTTTTTTCTATGTTACAGAGTAACAGCGCACTTGCTTTTCATATATTTTTGTAATCTTATTCTGTTTTTGTTACATAGATTTTTTATTTTTTTTTTCATCATATGTGAAAGAACTATATGGTTGTATTAGAAGTTGGCTGTGGCGCATGAAGGACTACAGAAATGTTTCGGCAAAAATTAGCAGCATTCCAATTTTTGATTTATAATGCGCTGATATGCGCTTAATAGCCGTTATTGTTTCTTTACTAATAATTCTTTTGCGTTAAAATATTAAAACCTAGTATATCAGCTTTCAGTGATTACAAGCTATTTTCTTGTTCTCTATGTGATAAATATTTTTGTTATTTTATATTAACTTCTTTCCTATTATAACATCCACTATTACCTTCGATATTCTTATTTCTAATTTAATTATTTAGAGTTTAAGGAGTTGTTTAAGAGTTTAAGAATAATATAATACGTGGTATATATTTTAACCGCTTTTTAGTTTGCTTAAGAAGACCAATTTTCATTGTTTATTATTCAAAATTTGTATTGGAGTTTATTTTAATTTATATAACCATTTATTTTTTTTCAGTATTTCCCTTAGATTAAATATATTGTACGCGGTATTGTAGTAAAATATAACATTTCATATATTTGTGAATTATACTGTTTTACGACAAATATTTTTATTTTGTTAAATTCGTAAGGTATAATATTAAAACTTAATGTTACGTTGCGGTAAAATATTATTTTTGATAATATCTAAATAAGCGGTGCCAATAAAAACTAACGTTTCCATGAATATAAGCTTTGTTATTTCACATCAACTATTTCCTCTAAACTTATTAAACAACATTACTCATTACACAGCAATAGAAAATATTTCGGGATAAATTTGGCATGTGTGTGTGTGATTGATATTTAAAAATAGAAAAATTAAGTAGAAGCAATGTTTTTTATAAGAATGTTTATGTAAAAATATATATGCAGTTATTTATTTTCAGACATGGTAAAATTATAATTTTTAAAGATATGAATAGTATTATTATATTGTGAACAGTACGAATATCGCAGTACGTTTTCTTGTATAAAAGATAATACTTTTTCACTATATGTAATGCAATGTAGCGTAAGAAAGAATACTTTTTTATTTAACGAGTGTATCTAATAACTTTTTGGCATATAAATGTGTTAATATGTCACTTTTCACACGTTAGTCTGTGTAGTTATTATTGATCGGTATGGTAAATAATGCGCAATGGAATCTGTACTGCGAACGTGTGTATTAGAAAGCGCACGCGTTACGCCAATAATCATCGATCACAATGCTCATCACGCGTCGATAATTTACGAAAATCATTGTCCTAATATTACGATGTGATTTAATGTATATTGATGTTTCTTCAGTAGTAACATTATTTCGTTCATTTACTTAATTTATATAAATATGTTTTGTATTCATAAAAAATTTATTAATCATTAAATTAATCTTTAGGAATGTGTAGCTAGTGTAAATTTTTGTAATACAATTTTGACGCAAATGTATATATCATTCAATAATTAAATACTTTAAGAAGTATCTCTAAAAAATAATTTTCTTTATCAGTTATAATGTCTAGAAAAATGATCGAAATGTAAGGAATTCTAAATTATTAACCATAGACAGAGACTGAGATATGTAAGCCTGATATCATCATAACCCCCTATTTCACGTTAAGTAGAAAATTTGTACACATTTTAATGTGATACCAACATTATTTGCATTTTAATTGAATTACGAATTTGTAAACGTGTTCATTAACGCGTAAAAGTAGAGGAACAAACTATAATTTTACTTCGAAATCATATTCAATATTTCATTTACTGCTTGCATCCTAAGAAATTAAAGCAAGATGTCAGTTTTCTAACAAAAGCAAAATCAATTCGAATTACATTAAAAATCAGTTGTTAAAGAAGTTAAACTGTTTTAAACCTTTTTATTATAAAAAATACTAACTTGCATGACTCGGCACTGAAACTATGTTTCGATGTATGTATGTACAATAGGAGACATGTGAAATTTTAGAGAACAGTCGTATGTATTATTATGCTCGCAAAACTGAATCTTGGTGTGTAGTTTAAAAAAGTAATTACATATAGTTTACGATCACTTCCTGCTTTTTCTCGATCATCCCTTCTTTTTCGTTGCATGTAAGAGGGGATGAAGCAAGGTATCTGACGTCAAGAGAGCCATCACGCGGTGACAAGCACACGTTATACTCACTCGTTTGAAGATCTGGTACCGACTCGGTAACCGATTTCGCTCATAGAGGCGCGGTTTTTATCGTTACTGCGGATGCACCCTCGCGATTTTCGACATCTATCACCATTACTGTTTGTGGCTGGTACTCTTGATGCAGGAACGAACCAATTGCATGGAATTGCTCTCTTATCTTTGTCAGCCGTAAACGAAAGCCGACAGGTAACGTAAAAATAAAACTCAGAACACTTCGCACATTAAAATTATTCCACTGTTTTATCATTTCAGCGTTCTCTCTTCTTAATTGCCTTAATACAAGCCTCGTCGGTATTTACGAATCTTTTAATAGCGATCGAATTTTACTTGTAACGGACATTTTTAAATTTAGCGTGACTATCGATGAAGATGTTGAAATCATCGGAAATTTGATTTCGACGAACATCGATAATAAGTGTACTTTTCGAAAAATGTTTTTTAGTCATTCTGGAGACACTTGTCCGTCGATGTTTAAATATAAAAATAATCTCGATCGTTCTTGACATAGTCGATCTATTTTTCACGTAGTCTGAGGGGAGTATATATTATTTTAACGTAATATAGTATTTTTATACGGGTACACTTGTGCTACTATAATATTTCTCTACGAATTTTCGTACGTATAACTTAGCATGCAAAAAAAAAAAAGAATGTGAATTAAAGTAATAAAACATTATGATACAACGTAGTGCGCTATAGAAGAGAGAACAGTTGACTGTTTACACACTGTACACTATAATTTAATTAGAACAGATATATATGTATATTCATAATCGAAATGAAAACGAATTAGAGGGAAAACGAAATTTTACCGAGGAGTATCGTCACTGCACCTATCGCACATTCGCGTCAAAGCATATCCTCCGTTTCCGATTCCTTTCTCGGAAATCTGTCGGCACCGAACCTACTTGTGCCTAGTCCGGGTGTATAGAAAAGAAAAAAAAAGAAACTGAAAACGCAACGCAATTTCGTGCTGGCGCTTCTTTGATCATTAGGTAAAAAAAAAAAGACTGATGCAAGGAAAGATAAAAGCCCTGAAAATAAGTGTTTGCGATACGATAAAATTGTTCTTTGGTCTGGTAAAACTTTGAACCACGCTTGGGCGGGACATTAGAAAAATTGGCTCTCTTTCTTAACAAGTTCTGGTTTAAGGTGTGTGAAAATGCCGGATACTAAGGCAATTGCACAGCTGACAATCACAACGTGAGCGGTTGTTCGTTTCGCGGATCATCCGGGGGATAATGATTACAGAACAGACCTGGAGCATGATGCTGGACAGTGATGTCACGGGCATCAATGAGTAAGTATTCACGCTATCTCTTTTTTATTTTTTGCTCTTTCTCTTAATACGCGAAGAAAAATAAAAGATGCTAGATACATACATGTATATGTACCGTACAAAGAGGACTTTCAATTGTTTCTTTGTTTAATGCAACACATCATTAACACAATAACACTGTTCGGTAAGTTTCACGTTTTGCAGGTGTATCGACGAGATTTTTTGTGTTTTTTCCAATAGTGTACTGTACACTTCTCGACGTGATTACACATGCACAGTCGACACTATTTACAAGGACATAATTGTTTTTTCTTTTCGGTTTTTATTTTCTTTTTTCTTTTTTCTTTTTTTTTCAATTGCTACTCTCGTTTGTATGCAGTTGTTTAATGATACCTGCGACGATAGATCGCGGTGTACGTGCAACAACTGTGTCGGGATCGATAGGGCTGCGCATTTAAAAATATGTGTGCACTAATTATGATATGTATCGTTTACATGTTGCGTGAACATTGTTCTACGAATTATAAGATGTTTTGCGACGTGTGAATGTTGGTTTGAATGTTGTTTACATAGAAATTGCATTGTACAGCAAGCGTTTTTGAAAAACATCTTGTTCCTACGGAAAGTAACAAAAGATTATCGACTTGATCAATTTTCCTTCCATGTGCGTTCGTTTAAAATGCGTTCCATTTGTCGTGATAAATTTCGAACTATTTCAAACTGCACCGGAAATCATTTATCTTGCGAAAATTAAAAACTTCGTTACAAATTTTGATAAAAAGATCTAGTTTTACTTTTTATTTACAAGGAGTCATCATCTTATTACTTTTGTATTGTACTATTTAGTTTATTGTAACAATCTTTTATTAAAATGATGGTTTTAATTTTTCGTTAATCTCGAAGCGGATAAAGAGCGCGAGAACAGAAAATTTACCAGTCGTAAAATTTATCAATCGTTAGTTGTTACAAATTGCTTGTATATAACGAACGAAAATGGATAAAAAGGCAATCGACATTAAATAATGTAAAAACGTTCGGTATAACGTTAACGATTACATTGAAAAGTTTTTAGCAACCAAAGTTGTTTACGTACTTATTGTGACCTGCATAGATGTTTTGCAACTACTTTGTATATACGTGGCTTAAAATAATTAGGGGATGGTCCATTAATATCATTTTACCATATTGTAAATTTTCATTTTACGTATTATTTTTACAACGATTTTTACAATACGCATTCAGAATCTGTTACGTTACTTAACTTATTACGTTACCCTAATTATACACCTATAAATTACCTTTTTCTTTTTTTTATGTCACAGATTAGACTTTAACTATTGGCCCGAAAAAAATGCTCAGTACTACGGATGATCTAGCAGTGAATGGAATGGTTTTACACAAAGTATTTCATTATTTAAAAGATAATCCTATTTTTTTCATTTTAAACACACGATCATTTTGTCATAATTAATAAATCAAATGGAACATAATCTCCTAATTACTTTGAGTATTGACTATACACGCTCAATGTGCATTCAATATGTACTAGATGTTCTAAATGTTGTTTCATTTGCATCGGTTTCTCATCGCAGGCAATTAATTTCGAAATACTTTTGTAACATCGATAGGTTGAGTATTTCCCCGAGGAAACAATTATGGATCAAGGCTGTGAAGAAACTAACTTCGGAGAGGCTGGGACGGGAGGGATTGGCAGCATGGGAGGACCGGAAGTCCAACAACGATCCGGAACTTCCAGAGATCAACGAAATGCCCGAGCTAATCGAGGATGCAGAAATTTCTACCGATCCGGATGTGGTTCTTGCTGAACAGCCTGTTGACGCTGAAGCTCAAACACAGCGAGGTCTGGATCGCATTCGACTGAATATGTTTTCTCGATAAATATTTATTTAAGCGTCGAACATGATGCCGCTTGTCGCTAGCATTGTTAATTTTATAACTGTACGTACAACCTTCGGTTATAAATACAACTGGACATTTTCAGATGTTTTCAAGAAAGGTGTGCTTTACAAGGGGATATTTTGTCCGTCGCTGTCGAACAGTTTCCACAGCAAACAACTCGAGACGTCGTATCTCCATTACTCGAATCGTCAACGGCAGAAATCACTGATTATGCTCAATATCGTTGATCTTAGCTTAAAGGTAAACCGATCCGAAAGGAATTAATCAAATACAGCCCGACAATGCAATTATTCTGAATTTCCCCTTTTTTTTCATTTCTGTTTCATACGATAACACCGTGACACCAGATTATTCTTATGACGATATGGCTGTGTAAAAGGGACGAAAACAGCGGTGGTTTGATCGAGTCTTTGTCCTGGGCGTCATGTTGTATGGCGGCGAACTTGGTGGTTTGCATTCTCGGCTGGTGGCGGTGCTTCTCTAATAATTACTTATATTGGGCTTCCATATTCACTTGGTTACTGATCAATTCACAAGGTGATGACATGTAGAGATGTATGCTGTGTATAACTTTTACTTCGAAATGGACAGTTTTCTTTTTTCTTTTTTGCAATCAAACGTATAAACCGTACAGTGTCTGGTGTCATCACAATGTTCTAATACACATACGTATTCTTGGGAAGATTGTATCTTCGTTTACCGAATACAGTTTTGCTCCACTGGCTCGTGCGTTGGCGGTCCAGCGAATTGCTTGAATGTTCAGCGAACCGTAGAGAGAGAGAGAGAGAGAGAGAGAAAGTGAGAGAGTGAGAGACGCGGTAGAACAAACTTATATCTAGGCATGGGTTATTATCGATTGGCGATCCTCTGTCACTATTTAATACTAACAGAACAACCATTATGTCTAGATAAATGGAATTCCAACGAAGAACGTCTTTACGTTCAGTACACGCTTGCTATTAATTGCAGGTTTTATAGGAGCCGGTCTAGATTTCTCTAGTCAACAACGTCTTATGTGGTACATTTTGTTTGTCGTGTATGCACCCTACGCTATGCTGCCGTTGCCTTTAAGATGGTGCGTGCTTGCTGGTTATGGGACAGCTTTAACTCACATGGTGATGGCAGGAATAACTTTATTACGAGATCCCACATATGTAAGAATCTCTGGTCTATATTCTTGTTTTCGGAAATTAATCTCCCCTTTTTCTTCACGATGCTTTTCGCGTTTGTTTCTTCAGCGTAGTCCCGTGTACTTTACGCTCTTTTGCAGCTTCCTTTTTTTTTTTGTTAAAATATCTTCAATTTTGCAATTGCAGCTGCATGATGTCACGTGCATAGTTAGAATGCTAACGACCAACGTCCTTCTTTATCTTGCAATGAATCTAGCTGGCATGTACACTAAGTATTTGACAGATAGAGGACAGAGACAGGCTTTCTTGGAGACGCACAGATCTATGGAGACCCGGCAACGAACTCAAAATGAGAACAACCGACAAGAAAAATTGCTTCTTTCTGGTGAGAAATTTCTTCGAACTTCGATTTCACGCTAATCGTCCTGAGTAATTTACTTTATCTTACAGCACTGTATTTCCAATTTCCCGTTCAAGATCTAATTACAAATTTTTTACATTTCTGTTCGGCAACACTTACAGAATGTCGTTTTCCCAAATTATTTTGGGGATACGAATTAATATTCGTTTATTTACCGTATTAAATAAAAAGTAAAGTGATACTCTGTTGGAAGATTAGTATTAACTTAAGCTGGTTATTCTTTCTACAATTATTCGTACAAATAATTGGCTACAGCATTATTCAGTGCACCTACAAGTGTATGTGGAGTATGTAATTACGTATTGATGTAAATACGTTCGACACGTATTTAAGTATATTTATACGTATGTCGAACATGTTGAACGTAGTATATAAAGACGCATGGGGTTGTGCTGCAAGCACGGGGTTCGTCAGCGCGTGTAACTTGCTCAGTCGAGTGTCAAAAAGGGTCACTAGACACTTTCACCCGATTGCGCCAGATATGTTTTACCGATAGCCTAGTAATACTTTGCTTTTACGTATTATCGATCTTTCGACGATGATTTGTTTAGGAAGTATAAGTATAATAAAATACAATGGAATAAAACAAAATGAAGAAAAAGGAATGGTTCTACTATTCTTCGGAACATTGTACATTTAAATTGATTTATATTTCATTTGAATTATGTTGGTTCATCTTTATGGAGCAAATATGAGGTTTTAATATGTGATTAAATTTCATGATTGGTGGATTTTATTGTAGTTTTACCAGATTTCGTGGCTAAGGAAATGATTCGTGATATCGCTCGCGAAACAGCTCGAGGTGGAACGATCTCCTTTACACCAAATCAATTTCACAGAATATACATCCATCGTTACGAGAATGTTAGCATACTCTTCGCTGACATCAAAGGTTTCACCGGTATGTAATTGTCCATTTGATATAGTTAATTTTAATGCTTGTATCATTTTTTTTTTTTACAAGAGTTTAAAAAATCGTGTTAGCGATTTGTAGCTTTATTTGAAATTTATCCTTGTGCAATCAGTTACTGCCGTATAATACAGAGAAGTATGTTGGAATTAAAGTATTACGTTTATTTTAACACGTTTAAAATTACCTACTTTCTTCAAATGAAATTATACATTTATTTACATGGACTTTTATTTCGTATACATTTCGTGATGTTAATTCGCTTTATCTTGAATCATTTGTAATCACTTAATTGACAATTTAACAATGCTTAATGATAAATTTCAAATGAATTGATATTTATTATCGCAAACGAAACTATATTATTCAAAATACCATTAATTATGCATTAATCAAATATTTTACATATTAGAGTGGCAACTTTTAAAATACCGGAATGATAAAAGTTGCAAGCACGTTGTTAAGAAATTTTTTCTATTTTATAAAAGGTATCATTTACTTTACACTAATATTAATTATCTTTCTATAAATATTTCACATTGTTCAATATTGTACCTTCGGTATATTGTGACAAATTTTTCTAACTTAACAATGTAATCTATAATTTTTATCATAAAGCTTTAGCCAGTCAGTGTAGTGCTCAAGAGCTTGTGAAGGTGTTAAACGATTTATTCGCTCGTTTCGACAAACTCTCCGCGGAAAATCATTGTTTGCGTATCAAGTTACTCGGGGATTGTTATTATTGCATTTCTGGACTGCCGACTGCCAGAAGCGATCATGCTCATTGTTGCGTCGAAATGGGGTTGCACATGATTAAAGCAATTAGGGATGTGCGATATACCACAAAGGTAATTCAATTTTTTATGATCCTAAACGTTTTTATTCGTGATTTTCATTTTTGTCTATTTGAAATTTTGCATGTTTTGTCCAATAAGAGTTGTATTGTCCAATACAAAAAAAAATTTATTTACGATCATTTAATTGTTTATATATTCAATTAAAAATTTATTTTTATAAACTTTACCAAGTTTGTCATTGATAATTGTAGTGTTATGATAAACATTGTTCACGAATAATAATAATAATTCTTAAGGTAACATCTGAAAAAAGAAACCTTATACATTAAGTAAACAACGCTAACAATTGGTTTCATTTAGGTTGACCTGAACATGAGAATTGGAATTCATAGTGGCTCAGTACTGTGCGGCGTACTAGGACTACGAAAATGGCAATTCGATGTTTGGTCCTACGATGTAACATTGGCTAATCATCTCGAGAGTGGAGGCATACCCGGGTAAAATTTCACGTATCTTTCTTTTATACGAAATGCATGTGTAATACTTTAAACAAAAACTTATTACAGTGTAACAAAAAAAAAAACGCTAATATTTCAGGAGGGTACATATCTCCGAAGACACTTTGAATTGTTTGAATGACGTATACGAAGTGGAACCGGGAAACGGAACAGAAAGGGATAATTATCTAAAAGAGAGGAATGTGGTAACATATTTGATCAAACAGGTGGAACCTCTAAGGTCAAGACGACGATATTCTTCGCGACCGAAAATATGGTCTGAGGACGATACGAATAAGAGTAAAAAGAGCTTCAAACTGAATAACCCGTTAGCTGCAAATAGCAGTGCACCGAATTCCTCTGCGGACGATGATATTGGCGTGGACTGGACACCGGAAATACCGTTTGAAAATGTCTGTATCTAACGATTGTTAGAATTTCAGATTAAAAAAAATTTCGAGAATGCAATGGCGTGTTCGTATGTATAGCTGAATACCGCGACGTCGGTCAGCAATCTGGAATCAGAATACCTCGAGGAAGAGAATGGTTCTGGGAAGAAGGCTGCATCCCCCACATCCGCTGAGAAGCTGAAGGCCGCAGGTCTTGAAACTGCGAGTAACAAGCGTATGAGATCGGCGAACATAAACGCTTGGACTTTACGTTACAATGATGAAAGCCTAGAGTCAAAGGTCTGATTGGTTTTAATTGTATTAGCTCCTATTAAAGAAATCCTAATGATTTTAATGATATAGATATTTTTTCTATATGCTTACAGTTTGGTCAATTGCGCGAGGATATGTTTAAATCTAACATGATTTGTTGCTTTGTCGTATGGATATTTATCGCGATTTGTCAAGCAGTGATATTACCTGAGTAAGTGATTGAGCTCATATGCGTTGTTATCGATTCTATAATTTAATCAGGTATGTCCAAACTAAGATTCGGAGCTCAGGCTTCTTTCCCCCATTATCGTTGGATTCCATCTCGTTACCATAGTATAACAACGCCGACTATGCGCGAGTCCAACAATCAAATACGCTTCCATCAGCCTTTCATTTTGCATATGAATGCTTCTCGTAGACGTAATTGCTATATGCTCCATTCATTGTCGAGTTGGTGCATGCCCAATTTAAGTGATCTTGTTTAATTTTTATTTCAAACGATAGCAACATTAAAGTTTCTGACAGAAATAATTCTGATAGCAATATTGGCAACAAAATTCTGATAGCAATAATTAATTGGTATTTCTATTATAACAAAGAATAAATATTTTACTTTTTAATTTTCACAGTTGCATTATTCTTCTGCTTTCTCTACTATTGACGACGCTCATTCTGGTAGCATCCTCCATTCTAGTGATGGCCGAGGAGTTCAAAACCTTACCAACATATCTCCAACACGCCTCTTCCATGCTGGTTCACAATAAGCAACACCGAACGGTCTTTATATGTAGCGTAATCAGTTTGATGGCTTTGACGTCGATTGTCGGAGTTTTAGCATGTCCAACGCCGAGTCGACGGTATCCCGAGACTTTAGAGCTTCAACAGCAGCCGTTGATGAATCCAACGTTGCAACCAGAACGACTAATAGCACCGAACGTTGGCAACGACCAATTGATCCTCACATTCCTAGAAGCAGCCCTACGCAATGACCCTTCAGAAGAACAGAAGGACGTTTCTTCGAAAGAGAATCAAACTACGTCACACGGTTCTAACAGCGTTGAGATGGAACTAACAAGAATCGTCAACGAGAGGGCTAGTCTGGCGAAAGGTCGCAGGAGAAAAGAATTCTTCAGGTTTTTTAGATACGAACAACGCCACAAACTCATGTCTGGAAGACATTATAAAAGATTTGTTCGTAATCGTAGGGGTGATGTTGTCTCGAGAAAGATATTGTCAACGCTAAAAACGGAATCACAAGCAGAACCTCTGTATTCGATGGATTACGTCGAGGAGATCATTTTCGAGGCCACCTGCGTACGACCAGAGTACATTGTGTTCACGTGGATCTTATGTCTGATTGCGTTAGCCTCCGCTTTGAAATTGTACTACTTAGTAAAAACAGCGTTGGCCACGATCATCGTGTCTGTTTACGCTGTATTGATTCTCGTAGTTTGTAAAGATTTTTTTTCGATTCCCGATGAAAAAAAGGATTCGTGAGTCACGTTTATTTATTCGTCTATCAAGTTTAACTAGTTGAATGCTTTTACGAACATACCGGTAGCAATTATACTCTTCGCATTTTCAGACCATCTATACCACTTTCGGCACAGATGCTGACATTTCTTTTAGTATTTCTGGTGATGGTTACGTATCACGGCAGATTAGTAGAAGTAACGTCTAGATTAGATTTCCTTTGGAAACAGCAAGCTGAAAGGGAACTAAGTGACATGATTGAATCACGACATAATAACATGCAATTGTTGAAGAATATTTTGCCAGATCACGTGGCTCATCACTTTTTAACGCAAGACAGGGCGCCAGAGGTATTGTATGCTTATCTTTGTAACTTATTTGATAAATCTATCAAATATTACAATTTCTATTTTTAATATTACGTAGGAATTGTATTCTCAATCACGTGACAAGGTTGGTGTAATGTTCGCCAGCGTGCCAAATTTCACAGAATTTTATTCGGAGGACGTTAACAAAGGAATGGAATGCATACGTTTATTAAATGAAATTATTGGTAATATACTTGTAGTCAGAGCCAAAATTTATGACTGTACAAGAAAGCTTAAAAATATTTGCTATTTTTAATTTCTTCTTTTTAGCTGATTTCGATGAACTCTTGGATGAAAATCGATTCCATTGTATTGAAAAGATAAAAACAGTGGGAGCGACTTACATGGCAGCTTCTGGTCTCAATCCTTGTCAAAATGTAATTGCATACGATTCGAACAGTTTTTTCTTTTTTCCTCAATACAATAACAGATTACATTGATTCATTTAAAATGTTACCTAACAATTTCAGTCTTTTTAGAATATTACTGTTTCAGGATAAAAACAAAGATGACATGGAGCATCTATGCAGATTGGTGGATTATGCAGTAGCTATGAGACTTCGTCTAGAAGACGTCAACATACATTCATTTAATAATTTTGATTTAAGAGTGGGAATTAGCTGTGGTCCACTAGTAGGCGGTGTGATTGGTGCTCGAAAGCCTGTGTTTGATATTTGGGGTAACACGGTGAATTTGGCTTCTCGTATGGATTCCACAGGCGTTATGGGAAAAATACAAGTACCGCAGGAGATTGCCAGGGTAACTAAAAGTTTACCACACCATAACAATTCATTATTACAAATGTATTTAATTGTAAGTTTCGATTGCAACAGTTCTTGGAGTCGAGGGGATATCAGACTCAGAAAAGAGGACTTATTGAAGTCAAGGGGAAAGGAACAATGGAGACTTATTTCGTATTAGGCAAGGGAAGTATGCAACAGGAAGGCACGATCAAGCACACAGCAAGATGCCGAAGCCTTGCAGCTGTTGTTTATGGTGTTGTTCAAGCGCGTCGTAAGCAAATGCGAGCACTTAGAAGGACATAAATATCGTATTCAGGTTAGTTTTTCTTTTTGGTTCGTTGGTGCCTATTTATGTAAAAATTATTCACCTCTGTCACAATTAGTGTTTAACGTGAAGGGTAAGACTTAAAATGGACGACGCGAATAATTCTTCTACTTCTGAGAATGAACAAATAACTTTTATTTCATTTTGAAATCGTCAATAGCTAAAGCTGTCAATTTTGTTTGTCTTAAGTGGAAGACAAGATTTACTGTTGGGAGATTAAAACTTTTCTCCGGCACTACATACATTTTTTACATATATATTATTTTTATTCCATACTTTAAAAAAAATTGAAACACGTTAGTAATTTATTGAATTTTTCTTAGAAACATAGTTTGTTTTCTATCTATAAAGAATCTATCAAAAATATATTTGTTCTACTTTCTAAGTATAAGAGTTACGAACTAACCCATTTTAAGTGCTTCGTCTGTATCACTAAAGTTCAAAGATCGACGAGCACTTATAATTAACATATTATCCAGTTTACATTTTTTTCTAATCAGAAGACTGGTTAATATGTTAACTAACGTGTTCTAATAATAACTGTCATTACCTCGACGTAAATTGATATTATTTTGTATTTGTGATTATTAAATTCTTTAACTCACCTTCCTCCCGTACTATTTGGGAATCTAACTTTCGAAACAAGACATTCTATTACTTAAAAATATTTCACTACGAATACGACGATATTATTTATAAAAAATACAAAGCGATCCATTTTATTTTATAAATGGATATATTTCAGATAGTATTTTGAATTAAGTATATAGATATTTAAAATACATTAAGAGGAACGTTAGTAATAGGAACAGTCATTGGTTAAAGACAACAAGGGCACTTCGAGGTCGTTTATATTTTAACAAATGACCCTCATCATAAAAGAAATGCACGGAAATTTTGTCGTTTTATTTTTAAATTTTTCGACAAAATTAACTCATTTTGGTATATTGTTTAAACTTTCAAAGAACTACTAGTCATGGGAACAAATATCCTTGAAGTATTCTTGATATCTTAAGCCATTGATTTAGTTTTTAAATTTTAATGAACTCCATGATTTTTTTTTTAATATATGTATAATCATCACGCTTTTCATTCATTGTACTTTTCACGATATATCTATTTATAGTACGTTAATATGGATTATCCTATACGCGATTAATTTACTTTTGTTAGATGTTAATGTAGCATTTCTGATCAACTGAAACTGCAATGCAGTTTCTACATAAAAAAAAAAGCAGGTTTGTCTGTGAAATCAGTGCCAAAACTCTAGTACCTTTCTGACTGTTAGGCTTAAAATTTTATATGAAACTATAGAAATCTTGTGATTAATTAAGTTCAATTAATTTTTTAACATTCTCTGTTCTCATTATACTTTTATTCTGTATTCAACTCAATTAAGGTTTATCAACTGTCAATAATAATTTGACATATCAAGTGAATTATAACTACGATAAGTCTGAAATTGTATGCAATACGATATGTAAAAAAAAAGATTAGCTGAAGTATACACAATGACGCCATTGTTGACGTAGTAATAAATAAATTAAAAAACAAAAAAAGTGCGATGAAAACAATCGATTAAAGCGCATAATCTTTGTTTTATTTCTAATTCAATCTCGAGTTCCGTAATATCATTAGGAATGAAATTATCAGGTGGTACAAATTTTTTTTTTTTTATGGGAAAAGTCAATTTAATAATAATTGCAGGGCAGCAGCATTTGTGTTATAATCATAATGTACAGCACAATCGAGCTCTGTGTAACTGTATATTACATTACTATGGTAAACACAATATATTTTAATTAATCGTAATAATAATCCATGATAATAATAGTTGTAATGATAATAATAAGGCTAGCTAACAGCATGATCTCCTGCTTAAAGAGACCATCCGATTCAACTGTACACTTTTACAACGTACTTCATAATAATAATCTAATTACATTAATTATAATTAGGTAATCATTACAATCCGAACCTAATTAGAAGAATGTTTGCGACACGTAGGAGGGACCGTATGCCATAATCTTTCGAGAAATTAATGCGAGGCTGAAACAACGTATTTCCCGTTTCCTCTTGTTCTTTATCGTGCCAAAAAAGGCAAGTTGCATGTATATACATTGATTTCTCGAAAGCAAACGTATCTTTTCATTTTTTTTTTTTTTAAAGTTCTTTTCCTTTCTTTTTTTCCTTTTTCACTCTTTTTAAGGTATAAAGGCACTGTACACGTAAACATACAATATATAGAAGAGCGCTATAGGCGGCCCAGATGGTACTTTTTAAATAGTAAAGCGTGCCCGTTTAAAAATATCAATACGATCTTCTTTCTTTCTCTCTTTCACCTTATTCTTTTTTTTTTGTTGTTATTTTTTTTTTAATTATTGTTAAGATGCTACGCGCTTAAAATAGGGAGCGGTTTCCTTCGATTCTAGCTGCATTGGTCAACGCTATATTCTCTTCGACGCTATATATCTTAAACATTAAGGAAAAATATAGATGACTATTATATCAGAATGTGCAGAACTCACGGTAACTATTTAGGAAGAAATAATTGGTCAATGCGATCAGAAGTTAAGAAAACGCTCCGGTTTAAAGGTGGGATCTGTTTATCACAATTTGGCAGTGAACGTTCTCACGTTTACAATACAGTTTTACAAGTTTTTAAGCTACGTGAATCTTCATTTTCCTCCTACTCCTCCTTCTCCTCCTCCTCTTTTTCTTTTCGCTATGGCTTGCTACGGTTTCATCGTTTTACGTTAGACGAATTCGAAAATATTACTTTTTTTCTTTTTTTTTCTTTTTCTTTTACCTATAGTCAGTTGTTCAAAAAAAATAAATCTTTTTATGTCTGTTCATTAACTTCGGCCGCTCGGTAAATATAGAACTTAAATTCTTCGATACACTGTTTAGCGAAAATATGTTTTATGTAAATTCCTTCATATTCTGCTTGTTTGTTTCGTTTTACTTCGCTTCTGTTTTTCTTTTTCTTTTACTTTACGACATATACAATTTTATATGTGCGCTATTATCTGGATCTGAAGAAATTTTTCAAGCAGATGGATTCAGGGGGTTTCTCGATCTCTTCTGTGGTAATTCTCTAGCTTTTGTGCGCAATACTAAATTGCATACGTTTCTAAAAACCACCAATATGACATTATTCCTCGAGTCGTCAGTATCAAAATACAAGACTTTGAAAGGTCTGCATATGTGCAGGATAAACAACTGATTATTACAAGGATGTACGTATTATACAATTCTGCTCTCCTGCTAGTCATTTTCTAGCTTTAAAAAAAAAACAAATATTTACAGTTAGTTACATTTCATTAAACGATAAGTTAATACACCTACTGTTCGAGTTCCTTCTAGTCAAGTCCTCTCTGGCTTTCTTTCTCTAACTAAATCCGTAATTCGTTAAAAAGAAATACAATGTCGCGCAATGTAAATTTAATTAAACAATAGAGAAAACTTTAGAATGTTAAGTTAAGATACAAGCTTACATTGACTAGTCTACTATTTCAAATAGTATATTTTATCAAACCTAATATTTCTTTGTATTTCTTTTCCCTAACTTAAAATACAACACTTTTACAGGTTGTTGGAAAAATCTAGTACATCACTTTATTTAGAGAACCAGATTTAGTTCTTGGTTAAATAACTGATTGTTTATTTCCCTTTCTTTTCTGCATGACGTTTGAAATACCGAATTTTGTGTAAATTAAGCAGAATTAGCCAGTTTTATACTAGACCTTCAGATCACCCTGCACGATGGTAGCATACTTCTATGAAATATGCTAAAAGAACAATTTAAAAAACTCATTCTAAAGAAAAAAAAAATTTTCTTATTACAGATACATGCCTTCTTTTCTATAAAGACATTTACTCTCTTTAAAATCTATAAATATTCAGCCATAAGTTTATGTTTTACCAATGGGCATTTGCAAATTATTTCATTAGAATTTCATAAAATTACTTTTCATTTAATTACAGACATTTCATTTGCAGATAACAAGATATATGTGTAAATTATTAAGAAAAGTATAACTTTCTTAATATTTCTTTGTTTTTAAGTTAAGTTACATATCCAGTTTACCTGCATATGAAATCTTCTGTCATCTACAACTCCCTTAAAACATTGAAATAATTTCAAACAAACTTCAACTGCTAATGCTGTGAACCTTTTTGTAATGAAAGCATTATTAAACAATGCAATTTCAATATATATTGTTAACAAAAATTTAACATGTGCATATCTAATTGTTCTTTCTATGTCATGTATATTTGATTACACGAAAATGAATATACTTTTGAAAAATTACTTTCAACTTTTGAATCATTTGCAATGCAACAATTATTAGAAATTATACAAAATAATAGGAAATCGTTTCCCTTTATTATGTTCATATTACATATAAAACATACTTTTCGATCAATCAATCATATTAATCAGCGTTCACTGTTCACTAACATTTAACAAGTGAATTGAAGTTATACAATTCTTTGAAAAATTGTAATGTTTGAACTGTAATCAGTGATTCAAATTGGACTTTGCTTTGCTAAATTATTTCTAGATAGCATTGCAAACAACCAGAGAAGTTACCTTTTTCAATTCCAAACCTGAATTCGCGTAGATCAATCATAGGTCACAGCAAAACAGGCTTAGCGGTACACGAAGGACCACTTTCAGTTTGTTCGTTATTAACTATTGAAGCTCTTGAGCCGTTCTATTTCAATTCATTTCACGTTACCTAATCTTATCCTTTACATTAAATATATTTATACATAATTTATTAATTGTTAGTCGAAGTTGTCAAATCAGTTCGAAATATTGGCAGAATTTATAGTCATTTTCGACTGCCAATATTACATGCATTGAGATCATTTGAGTGCATGGATTAAAATACTCTTGGATACGTGTTTCTGAACCCGTATGATCGTCTTAATGATCATAGTAGGCGGGCTAACACGTCCGGAAACTAACATTATTTGCAGCCATTGCTGCAAATATGTGTGTATATACATGCTACCGCTCAAAAGTTGGATATCTCCACCACATTTTTTACCCCATTCAAATACAAATTAGAGTCCAATGTCTGACTGTAATTCAGTTGTTATACATTTTTAGAATAACTTTTCTTGTGTGAGAGATGTCCTCCAATCACAGGCAATAAACTTTTATGTAGTTTAAAATACTTTATAACTCCTCTTTTCAACAACACATGTCTATGATTGAGATTTAGTATTCTAACATATTCAATTATTTCATGACCTTTTTTTTTAGAAGTTACAGTTGTTTTCTGGTTATATTCTGTACATCTGGGAAAGATTGGAGCAGTTTTTGCTGTATAAAATATTAACGAAAATGATGAAAAATCAGCAGTTTTATTTGTCAGGGCAAAGAGAGAAGTTCCACAAATACTACAAAAGAGGCTGGAGAGCCAAGGAACTCAATACAGGAACTGGAAGTTCTATATTCACTGTATTTACTACTTTTTTCTGAAAGAGAAATTTTCTATCAGAGAGAAAAAGTAAAAATTATTGCATCATACAGTACAAAACATAATGATAGTGCTAGAACATCAGACTAAGAAAAAGCAATAGATTAATCGGTCCAAAATGACAATCCACATAGAAGACAGAAGAATTAAAATTATTTAAAAAAAAAAACAGAAAACTGTCAGTTCTAAACATTCGAGCGATATTAAATGAAATCAGGAAGACAGGAACCTGTCTTCGAGTACAAGAAAACGAAAATTTAATCGTAAGAAATGTGGAGAAAAAAAAGTTTAATGTAGGAACGTGTAATTGTACGCTTGATGCGTGAAAATCAGTACTATAGACCAATGAATCAAAGAGTTCAAAGAGTTTCGATACAAAGAGTTGAATTTTTACGTATTCGATAACAAACGAATCACGTCACAGTACATAGTGTTAACAATGAAGATGGTTCTCTTTTCATTTAGGGTTGTTTTTTTCTCTCGATGAAATAAAATTAATTAAAGATGTAGATGCTCTAGCATCCATAACGACGGTAGTAATTACACGCAGTATTGTTATGTGTATTGTCCATTTGTACTACATTTTTATCAGTGCAGGCGACATCACCGTGATGTCTGATGTGCAGTTCCTTCTGTGAAGTCTTTAGCGAGAGAATTACCGTTGGAAAACCTCTTGAATCTTGAACTTGAGGGAATCAATACTCAAAGATGATACTTAGATCTTCCCTGAGAGATCTTCGGCCTAGTCGCCCGGAGCCGCCACGCACTTCAGTCCCCCCATAGCGCCGCCACCAACAATGAGGTATTGCGGGTCTTCCTTCCCTTTAATCGGGGAAGGGTGCCCCACGGGGACGGCAGATGGCTGGGTGGGGGGCTCCCAGTGGTCCCCGGGACGGGACACTACTCCCCTCCTCCGCCGGTGTTAGGAGAACAAGGGAGGGGTCGGTTTGAACCCCTCCCTTCGCTCGGGCGGGAGGTATCAAAGAATTTACCATGGGTGTTTTAGTGGGTGAGAATCCCACACTACCCCGCCTCTCTCCCCCTCAGGAGAGGCGAGGTGTCTATGCAAAATTTCTCTCATGTAAAAAAAAAGGGGGTTGAAGGAGATTCCCTTACCCAGAGTATACCAGTTTTGCATATACACACATACGAGCGCGCGCCCACACACATACACTGCAACTGAAATTGGTCGTGCGTACAAAAGAAATACGTTTGTCGTTCGTCGTAAACTAACTCGGTGGAACTAGCATTTCCTAGGATTTTCAAAAATACATCGTTCTTCGATGATATTAGTACCACCTGTAATGTACTATCTACCATGTTTTGCTTTTTTTCATTTTCTCTCTCTCTCTCACGCGTTTGTGAAAATACATTTTTTCGGCGGAATGAGAATTGCATTATTTATACACTTGTGGTAGGTAAGATTTTTTGTTTTCTGGCACGTGCATTTGGCGTTGTTAAACGCCAATATGAATTGACGAGACTGAGTTGAAGGTACGTTTCTTCTTTGTCTTAAGACACGATTACTCGCTGTTAGACATTATAATATCAACGTTTCCCAATTTTTCTTGAATGTCGATCTAATTCCGTACGCCGCCATTAGATTTGTTAAAATTGTCCTAATATTCTATAGACGTGTTAAGTTAAATATTATCTTAAATAAGACATTAGCCTATATAATTCTATCCATTTTCCATTGAATAAATTGTGTAGATCAATTAATTATTTCACACAATTAAAAAATCATTTAAACAAATTGATTTACAATTAATAAATATTTTTGTTTTGTCACTTCATGACTGAAAGAGTATTAAAATAATTTAATACACAGTTTCCAATGTTTTTTGCTCTAAGTGTTCACACGTTTCTCCTTTTGTTTCGTTCGTGAAGATGATCACAAAACAGTAAATTGAGAAACGTCGTTCTATAAGATGTTTGTATTATGTTACCGTCCTCTCGTTTTAAACATAAAAGTCATTATATCTTAGAAATTGTTATAAATCGTACGTTTTACTGTACAAATATTTTAGAATCGCTATAACACAATAATCAATTTATTTGAATGAAGATATTCGCTGCGAATGCCACTATACTGCTTGCACACTTTTATTAAGCCGTTTGCGTATGAATGTGTAAAGAAGTTCAACAATCATGCTCTTAATGAATTTCAATTTGGTACCAATTTTACTGTCTGCAAGTTTCGTATGGAAACATACTCATGATTGTTTTCGAAATTTAATCACTGTTGACAGTAGGACATTCGCAACCGTGCTAATATCTTCGTGAATTTCTTAAAAATTAATAATTGTTTCGATTTGCTTGTATACAAAAATGTACAAGATTTAGTTTTGAGCAGCTTCGCAATACTTTACAACCGTATCCGAATCTATAACAATAATTAATGATAGCTTATCCCTCATCACTTTAGACTAAATGTAATCCTTTAATATATTCACAATTGGCAGTGAACATTTATATGATTTTATGTGTACGAAATTTTTTCCTGTTTTTGGACTATTCATTATTTATTAAACATTCGAAGTATGCAACTATGAACATAGTAATAAAGGAGAGAATATTCTGTTTTTCATGATGAAAATGACCATTAAATGCTTGTTTTGCTGTTACTTGTCATAACATAAAGCTAATAAGAAACACGGTAAAGCTCGATAAACATATCCAGCATATTTCATTGCAAAACTTTAGCAAGGTGGTGTCATCAAAGGATTACAGAAGGTGGTAATTTACAAGTAAAACGCAGTCTTCTTTCGTTTACTTAGCTTCGATTTTGTATACCCGAGAGCTGGATCAATGTTTCACAGATTTTATGTACCAACTTAATTAAAAATTTTCTGAATATAGGTCATTCATTTGTACAAATAGTACTAACTAATAATTAGAGTATTTAAAATTTTTAACTGTTTTATATGATAACATATATTGTGCGTACTTTAAAATTAATATGGAAACAGATGCTTAACTTATAGATTCCAACATATAAAATTTGTTACCTTTTTGTCATTGTTTCTAATTTTTTGCAGTAGCTCTCAGGTACTTGAATAATGTCTATTGTAAAGATTCTTTTCAAACACAGAAATTGTACTGTCAAAGTCACTGTAAAGTGCCTAAGAAGTCCAAATATCTGTGTTGCATGTATTCTCAGGAGGATTGGCTAGACTGAGCTGATGAGGGAGTTGTTAGAGAGGTGTGTAAAGTAAATCCGTCATAAACGTCCATTAAATCACGCATTCTATACTCTTCTAAGCAAACAAATCCTTCTAAAGATGGGGATTGTTTCCGTGCACAATCCATACAGTGTACTACGTGCCGTTTTTCTTGTTCTCTTATGAACAAGATGTTAAACACTTCAATCTGAAATAAAAGTAATTTTATTATTTTAACTACTATTAAGTCTATTATATTTTTAATTCAATATTTAATCAGGCTGCACAATAAATAGTAAAATTAAGCAAATTGAATAAGTTTAAAAGTTTTTTAAAAATTGAAGCATTATTTAAAAACCGCATAAAAAGTGTGTGATGAAAATAACTACTGTATGTTTAAGGAAAATGCAATTTTATGTAAAGGTATCTTACCTCACATTGGCCACAGTAATGTGATGCTTCATTCTTTCCACGTCCGTGAAACCGAACTTCAACACCCTTACTTTTCACAAATTCTAATATCAAGCAGCACTGTCTCATTGTCCTTAATAGGCAATTTTTAATTAATTCGAACAGTCTGGGATCTGACACTTTGATATTCCTTGCTAAGTTCCAAGATAAATGTACCATTGGTACAATAGATTTGAATGATTGCAGTTTATTCCACTCGTAACGTTCGATGGCTAGTTGATATTGGCGAGCGGTCAAAGGACCCACGTTCCATGCAATATTATTACACCAACCAACAGCTTGAACCCAATGCACACAACCTACAGCAACAAAAAAATTTCATGTCAAATAAGTTACATATTTTGTAGAGGTGATAGAATGTTTCGTCACAGTCACAGATGCTGCTCGGAAGTTAGAAGTATCGGTTAACCGAGCGTTAAAGAATGATTCCGTCTTTTTTTTAACATTATACAATATATTAACTAAGGTTGGATAATTCATAGTTATTAATAATTCACTTACCAGCATTAACCCAGACAAGATCACCTGGCCTTTGTAGAAACCTATATACAGGAATGTTTTCCTCATATAGATCCTCTAAAGAAGGCCACCAACTACCATGAAGGTAATTGATATTGTTTCGCTCACAAAGAGAACAAATTACACCCCAATATGCATCAGGTACTGCAAACCACTCACAATCTCCTGGTCCAATGTTGATATTAATAGAACAAAAATTGTTGTTTTCTTGATGACCAGGTGTTCTACTACCAGGCACCTGCAAAAGTAAATAAAAATATGTCTCAAAGAAGTGCTTCCCCTAAGCTTGAAAACTGAGTATGAGTTTTTTCACTATTACAATTATTTATATTTATTATAATTTATGCTAAATGAATGGCAATTATTAAAGGTAAAACTCAATAAATATTACACATACCTTCATGTATAATTGAACGGTATTCATGCCTAAAATAACGTGACCGACGTGGCTAAGCATATTCCCAGCCGATACAACTCTGGCGAACGCTGGTAATTTCATCAGCTCCTGCAGCTGAGGCTTCCATTTCCTTTCGTCTGATAAATCTACATTGGTCCCAAATCGCAACATTTTTGAGCCTGGTCGGCCCGCCAATCCGAAAGCGTTTTTCTTCCTTCTAACAGCACCGGTACTATCTTTCGAATCTGAATCAGACAGATTGGAGGCGTGTATACCTTGAGCTTTCTCCCTCTCTTCTTTCAAGCTCTCTTGAAAGCTCGAGGCTTGGTATTGCGCATATTTCGCAATGGTTGTATGACTTCGATGGCTGATGCAACCCCAAACCTTCCTACCCATCACAGGATCCCAGTTCTCGTCACTGGTCTGTTGCATTTGCGTTCTTACTTCGATACCATGGTCTGGATTCGCCTCTACTAGCGTTTTTGTCGAGAACAGTCCAAGGTCCAGCTTTAAAGCGGCTGCTAGACCACGAATCACAGCTATCGGGTGCTTCAAGCAGAACTCTTGAAGCTGTGGACTGAACGCGTCCTTCTTATTCTCTAAGTAAACGCTAGGAGTCGGAGGTAGGAGTTGTTCTTTAGTTAGCCTCTGACTCGGAGGATCAGGCGGTGCAGGCGGTGGTGAACGATCGCTCAGTATGGAGCAATTTGGTACACCTTTTAGTCCTTGACCCTTGCACGCCTCGATAATAGTTTTAGAGTCCATGTCTATGCTAAGTTCTTGCTCGGGTTGTGATTCACACAAGCTTTCCAATTTAAGCACTGGCTCGACCCGAGTGGCCGGCTCAATTTTATTTGTACTCGACGTAGCTTCGCATTTCACCGTCTCTACTGTCGGGGTTGGTGTCTTCGCGTTTTTCTCGTATGTCTCTAGCTTCGAAGTAGACGACGGTTGACTGTCTTCTACTTTCTCCTGTTTTACTTCTTTGATCTTCTCGTTACTCTCTTCCAGGTTCGATGGCGAAAAGGGACCCGAGCTTAGAGTGCCGTTATTCATGATTGTTGGTGTTTCTTCCTTCACGTCTAAATCTTCTGAGCCGAAATGCTTCAACAGATCCTCCGCCAACGACGTCGCGATATCCTTTTGCGATAATAAAGCTTGTAATTCTTGGTCCGTCACTCCAAGATCTTTGTTCCCCGCAGAACCTTCTGGATAATTGCTCGTCGTCGACGATATCTGAGTGTAACCCTGGGCAGTGTACTGATTAGGTTGGTACTGGTTATACTGGCCCGACGTTACGTGCCTTTGAGGATAGTTCGAATCAGAGGCAGACCTGTTTGTAACGCGACGGTTCCACCTTGCTGCAACTACCATCAAAAGATATTGTGAAATTAATAAAAAATAGAATTTGAAATGTTGAATATATAACCGTTACATTTTATTTTACTTGATATTTTTGATTATTATCGTAGCAAAAGAAAAGACATCGATAAGTGGAAGTTTATAAAAGGGAAGGGAATCTCCTTTCATAAATACATTAAACAAGAGTAAGAGTAGTACCGGTTGTTGAGGTATTCCATAATTCTTGATGACACCAGGCTGTCCCAGTTGGGCATGGTTGTAGCTTGTAGGGTAACCAGGTTGTCCTGGCCTTAACCCCCTCTGAGCAGCTTGCTGTTGTTGTAATCTAATTTGTTGCTGGTGCTGTTGCATGCACCTATACTGTTGCTGCAACTGAGCAAGCAGGCCTTGTTGTTGCGGCGTTAAACTTCCATGATTCTGCTGAAGAAACTGCAGCATCTGCAGCTGTTGTTGTGTGAGATAAAATGGTGGTGGTCTTTGCTGTGAACCTGGAGAGATCGGTTCTTCCCCTGGCTAGAAAGTATAATTTATTTTTTTTTCAATTATAACAGAAGCAAACTTTTACTACTTTATTGTACATTAATTGTCTTTGAAAATGAAAAGTTCACCTTAAATCTTTTTGTGTTAAGATTTTGCCCTTGTCCTTGGGGATAAGGAGGTGGTGGCCCAGAAGGTGTGGTGCCATATTTGTAACCTGGACCTGTGGCAGGTTGTTGCTGTTGTTGCTGCCTGCTAGACATCTCAGCGCTAATAGGTAAATTCCAAGCCTCTTCTATAGACGGCAGTTGCCGTCTTCTTCATGAAAACAGAAACGCTATGCATTAACGAGACCAATGTGCAAACTCTCTCCAATTGTTCTTTCGATAAAAATCATTTGATAAAGTGAATGAACCTTTTCTTTTTTCGACCGCAGTGTTCTTTTTTTCTCCTATTTTTCTGTCGCAGTGCGATTAACCCGTGTGGACAAAACAAAATTGTCATTTATCCACGATACGTTCGCGCGAAGAAACTTGTAAGTGTTTTCATATAAATTCAGAAGTAAAAGAGTCAGAGATGCAATGTCTGCTACAAACTACAATTACAACTTTTTCAAATATCACAACGACTCGTGTCTAAGGGGGTTATCCATTCGAACTGAATCGAAGAAAAACGATTCTTTTACACATTTTCGAGGCGAATACACCCTTAGGTGAAAAAGTTAGAAATTTCCAAAGGATTCAAATATGAAAAGAAATTTTGCATATGTACCACGCACTTTTCTTAAGTTACAAAAAAATATTACATCAAATACTTCGTTTCTTTTTTAATACTTAAAAAAAATATTACATTAAATACTTAAATATTTATTGCAACTGTATAATACAGTATCATATACGGTAATTAGACATTATTTGGTCAATCTTTTAGCTGCATCGAAATATACATTTTATCACAGAGTATTGACAGATATTCTTCAATCCTTATCTCCTTAGAAAGTTGCAAAATTGTGTGAACAAAATATCGAGAAACAGCTACTCTCTATCTATCTCGAAGTAACTCACTTAGTGGCGACGGAAGGCATTGGTGCTTGGCTTAGGTGACTTTGCAGAAAGTTGATCCGTTGTTGTAGCGATGGGTTCATCGGGGTGTTACCGCCGGACTTAGCGCCACCCAGGCCCGCCAAAGAGCCCGTGCAATTTGGTGTGTTATTATTACCCCTACAAAAGGAATCGCTGTTTCACATATCACATGATATTTCAACTTCCATGGACAGGTGAGCTTTCCATTCTTTCTCCCCCTTTTCTCTTTTCTATCTTTACATTTTTTCTGGTGTCTCTATTTTTTTTTTTTTTCTAGTCTTGAACGCTAACCTGCCCTCGACTTACTCATTTTTCTCGCAACATGTGTTTGTGGGACGCTTATCGGCAGAGAGTTTACTATGCAGCGTCAAACTACGTAAGAGGTACAATGAACACATATGTAAGTACAGTGAAAAGGATGCGGAGACCAATAGTAGGTGTAGTAATGTTTCGTTTTCGAATGGGTCGATGTGATCGTAAGTGGATGGTCAAATTATTAAAGCCACCTGCAAGAAATAGACGATTTTACGTTATAACGATTAATTTTTCGACGAAATTCTAGTTACACTAAATCATTATTTTTTTTTTACGATGCACCGATGTTTTTTCTTGCTTCGCTTTTACTGCTCATGTACAGTAAATTACTTAAAATCTATCGAAATTATGCCCAAAGGTAACAAGGCGGTAATAGTTACATGCGCTAAGTTTAACTTTTTCGTGTACCTTCGGTGGATAATTCTACGCAAACACAGGACAGATATTTGTGGCTATAATAATTCGATCACCCGCTGTAAGTTCGTGTACCGAGGAGAATGAGACGATACTATGTTTAAATGGACAAGGGTGGTGCGATGGCAGTAGTGATCGGTAGGAGAGCACTTCTGTTTTATTTGAACAAAGAGAATACGATACATCGGTAAATACAGCGTCGCAATGTGACAGCGATGAATGAGTTGGTAACAAAAGCGAATGGGAAGACACCACAGTGTTGATGTATATATATATACACGTATATATTTCAGGTAACTTTTCAGAATTCGATCGTCGTCGAGAAAGTTTGACTTTCGATTGTGCGAAAATTCTTGAATAAAACTGTACGAGAATAATCGTTTAACATTTCGGGTTACACACGCAGCATTCTTCCCGGTCAAACATCACGGATAACAATATCGTACACCGGGGTTCTTTTTGTATCGTCGCTGGCCGGAAGTGAACGTTACTTTACCTGGATGCGTTGACGTAACAAGCTAGAGCGTCTTTCGGTTGACTAACGCTTTCGTACAAAATTCCCAGATTAGTCCACGCAGCAGAGTGTGATTTGTCTAATTGTACCGCGCATATATAGGCTTGTAATGCGTCCATAGGCTGATTTTGTTGCTGATACAGGACGCCTATACTGCACCATGTGTCCGCGTTTCCTTCTGACTTTTCCACGGAGTTTCTGCAATCGACAATTCCCTTTCGTTAATACGTTCATTGCCAGAATTTTCATTGTTCCAACCGTAGTATTATATTATGCTTATGATGCTCTATTATTATTTTCTTTTTAAATTCGATATTCATTTTAATTTAATTATTCTGAACATCTGAGGCCATCTCTGGTCACAGGTGACCAACGTGGCGGTCAACGTGTTCACCTTTAACCGATCACGTGAAATTTTCGTGCATGAAACGGTCGTGCACCGTTTGCGAGATTGATATTCTTAGTTAGAAACACGAAATTCGCCGTGAACTTTTTTAGAACTCGATAGAAACTGAACTTGAACGTTTATTTTCTGTTTCTTGCATCGGTACGTCGATAGATTTAAATAGGAAGAAAGATAAGGAGAATATGAATTTAGCGTGGGAAATTGAAGAAATATCACAGACGGCATACGGCCAGTTACTTTGCACTTCCTTTATTAGCTGCGAATAATCAGCACAACGACCTCGTCGATGAGGTATCAAGCGTTTTAAAATGAGAAATTGATAAAAAGTAAGAAAACGAAGGAGAAATTAATCAGTTTACCATGTAAGGAGCTTACATATCCGGTTGATATACGGTGCAATAATTTCGAGATTAACCGCTTTTCACGCGGCGAACGAGGTGCATTACCTGTAGGCGATAAATGCATCGTGAACTTTTCCAGAAGCGGCGAGACAGCGTCCTAGAAGGTAAAGGCTTTGCCCACTTTTCGGTTCCGCCTCGATAGACTTTTGCAGACAGTGGATAGCGATTGCTTGTTTCTGTTGCCTCGTTATACCCAGTATCGTACAGTCAACCACGTGGTACATCCATCCTGTAACGACAAGTGGAGGTTGATACGTTTAAACGAAGTAAATTGTGCTTAGGAAAAGGCACAAGTTCATTCGTAAAAATTTCATGGATACAGTTTAAGGATTTTTGACTTTCTCTTTTTTTAATAGTAAAAAGAAAGAGTATAATATAGATACACTAGGAATATTGATACGTTTAAATGAAGCAGATTATGTTTAGAAAGACACAAGTTAATTCATAAAAATTTCATAGATACAGTTTAAGGATTTTTCTTTTCTTCTGCTTTAGTAGTAAAAAAGAAAGAATATAATATACATACACCAAGTATAAATATTAATTAAACACTAAGCTTTATGTTCCAAGCAGGAAATTGAAGGAAAATTTTAATTTTACATATGTAAAAGTTTAGGTACATATTTTGTAAGAAAATTTCAGTTACAAGTGTTTCAACTAAAATTCACAACACCACAGATACCGAATATATTCTCATGTTCGAAAATCCTACAAAACTCAGTTAACGAATGGCAATCTTAAATCTGAAATACTAGAAAAATTTTCAATCTTTCTCTTTAAATCATTTCCGAGACACGTGCACAATCAGCTGATATACGAAAACACGCCAAATTTCCTAATTATACACCTTTCTCAAATTCACAAGAACACACAAAATCTAATGCACCAACCAGAATCTCCAAAAAGGAACCTTCAATTTCCAAAAAATTCTCTCCACAAAATTATCCTCAGGATCCGAAAACTGAACAATCTAACTACACGCTCCTAAACGTAGCTCATATACCTGAGTTGCAGCTCTACCTGAACAAGCAGCTTGGACAGTTTCCTGCGGACTTGAAAAATCCTTCTCATCCTCGGTGCAACTCTGTTACAGTACACACGATGTGTTCAACGAAACCTTGGAGAAATCAATGCGCGTTCGACACCACGGCATATCGTGAAACACGAATTTACAGGAGAATTGGTTCTGGTACAACCTCAAAATCGAGACTGTTCGAACCGGGTGAATGAAACTGGCGTGTCACGTGCGTGAATCAAAATGAGAAGAACAGGGACGAAAACGTTCCTGGCGAATCGAGGACGTGTTGCTTCAACACTAGACGAGTACTAAACTGAATAGATTTTCGCAGGTATAACCTAGGGTAGCCACTTTTACCCCACTCTCCCTTCTAGGAGGTCTCGAATTACAACCCTCTATAAACATAGGCGTAGAAAACGGTCGTGTGTAGAGCTCCGAGGCGTTTCGGAAAACAGTTGGAACGATTTTCTACGAATGTTTTCAGAGACGCACAAATTTGGAATATTGCGCGGAGAAATGTGACCGAGACACGTTTTCTAAATGCTAAAAGTAATGTCAAACGGTTTTGTCCATTTGGCTGCAGAAGTAAGTGTTAAATAAAATTATATTTCGAGACACATTTTTCTCACAACTTTTCCTTTTCTTCTCGGTTAAGTATGATTTCTGAAAGAGGAGAGGCCGAGTTAGGTACGCGGCATGCGTGCGTGCGCTTGGAGTATCCTTTAAGGCAGCTGTTAGAGCTGTAACGGTACACCTTTATTTTCCAGTTCTTTCGTTCATTATTATCTGCCGTGCGTAGACCTGCTTATGACGATGGGACTTGCCAGTGAAACTAAAGGAAGGTGAAGTTACGGTAATTTTACGGTGGTGCTTGAAGTTTGTCCCTGCTTTGGTACCATTTCGTGTAACGTCTTACGATGTAGCGTGGACATAAAGGAGACGTTGATCTTGCTTTTAATTCGTAGAGCGTAGATTTTTGAGGCTTTGTCAGGGTTGAACGTTATCGCCCATTCTGAATTCTGCGGGAGTTCAAGTAAATTTAATTGCGAAGATGGAAATGGATAGAAACAATTGATCTTCTTATTCGTGAAAGATACTAGCGGTCTCGGTACATATTTTTTATTATTTCATTGTAATTTTCTTAAAGTGTTTGATTTTTTAGGAAGTAAAGCATGCTGTCGGGCAAATAAATTCTAATCAAATTTCTCGTAGTACTTCGCAAAAGTAATGTCACAGTGGTGGTATTAAATAGTGGAAATTAAGTATTTGGCAAAAATAATGTCACAGTGGTGGCGGTCGTTAAATGGTTTTGTCTGTTTAGTTATGGAAATGAATGGTGATTTGTTAAACAAAGTTGTATTTATATAATATAACAAAATAATAAAGACCGGTAGCCTATTAATCGGCTTTTTGCCGCCAACGCTTACCGACCGGTAGCCTATTAATCGGTTTTTTGCCGCCAACACTTACCGACCGGTAACCTATTAATCCACTTTTTTTCACCGACGCTTACCGACCGATAGCCTATTAACCGATCGAAGTTTGATTTAATATTTCTACAGGTATAAGAAAAAGCGCGTATATTCCCGCGCAATAGCCTAGAGTTTAAACAGAGCCGGTGTTACCGATGTATCTGTGGTCGAGTGACCGGTCGAAAGTGCGTAGAATGTTCAACCGCTACCGGTCGGTAAAGTGTCAAGTGACCATTCCTCGCGAACATAGAAAAATAAAAACAAAAAGCTTAAGAAATGAAGGAATAATCAAATATTAAAAAAAATAACGCGCTAACAGAACGTTCAGATTCAATGTCTCCTTTCTTCCAAGATCAAAAAATGGAAAAATTCTTGGGTGAGTTGCGTTATGACACGCGTCATCGACAGGGAGAATTTAATTTTCGCGTTTCATAACTTTATACCACAAAACACGGAGGAAAAAAAGGAAATATTCCCATTGAATCTCTCACAAGAGAAGTCCGTTGTCTGTTATTTTCAATGTGCTGCTCGTCTTTTTATTCTTTCATTTTGTAATAACAGAAAACAGACACAACGTGAAACGTTCAGGGCACCTTTAATCATAGTAATTTTCGTGCCTTTGCACCGTATTATACCCGGTAAATTAAATACGTGCCGTGGGAAAACGAAAGTTTCGCAACAAGTTGTTACACAATCGTAAAACGCGATGCTAAACGCACGGCGATTCTAAATGAAATTAAGTCGGTCGGTTCATAAACCATCCGGTGAAATTAAAGCGTCCACTAGTGCGCTCTAATTGCTCCTCGCCCCGTTCGTTCGTTCGTTCATTCATTCAACTCTTATGTTTTCGTACAAGCCTCCTCCTTGCATGGCAACCGTTTCTTACGCCGGACCTGCACAATGGACCTTTAATCTCCTCCCGCTTTTCTTATCGATACACCAGTTTATCAATTTTCTATTTCGTGCTTAACGCGCGTTGCTTTCTCTTTGGCGAACAGTATCCTTTCGATACACGTTCGCAAATTTTAATCGGAGAGATTTTTCTTTGGAAAATTCTAATTTAATTATTTCAGTCTAATTTTTATATGGAAAAGAGATGAATTTATTTTTCGTAAATTTTAATACACAGATTTTTCTTTGCAAAATTCCTTATTTCTAATTCTGATTTAATTGTTTTATTCGAAGTTTTATATCGAAGAGAGATTAATTTATGTTTCATAAACGTTGATAGACAGTTAATCCTTATATTTCGTATACCACTTGTTTCTTGTTTACTGAAGTTATCGAAGACAGATTAGTTCACAACATTTAGATTAGTTTATTACTTCAATTAATTTAAAGATTAATTTATTACTTCGAATTTGATAAATAACGATTCGTCCAATTACCTTTGTTTCGTATCTTCTACCACACGTGTAGAATTTTCTTTGAAATGCTTATAATAATTTTTATTGCTTTCCGAGTAGTTAATTGCGAGTTCATTTGGACGTGATCAATTTACGAACCGAATAAAGCAGCTATTGTGTTATAATTATCGCTCCTGATTCATTCATCCGTTTCAGTCATTCGAATAGGGTTTCATACGAGCTGTTACGTAATGATATTTCTTCAAATGTCGCAATTTTCTGTTTAATTAATCGACTATATGTCTATCACCAGCTGAAGCGTACGATTGAAAAAGCAACGTGTGATTTTCTTCACGATCTTTAAAATAAGAAAGCAAAAGAAGGGGGAAATATTAGGTGTAGAAATTAATTCGGTGCCTTTTCTCACAAATTTTAATATTTTAAACAAGTTGAACGTTCAAAAGAGTCCCCGTTATTTTGGACGACCTACTTCCATTTATCGAGTAACTGACGAATTCCGTCTCTGAAGAATTGTGGCTGTTTTGAGCTGATATAGTCGTCAAGGCTTTGTGAAAAAGGGCACCGAATTGATTTGTAGTACACCTAATACATGGAGACGAATTTTGACAGCATTAAGAAAACACTTTAAATATCCTTCACGAGCTTTCCAAAATCCCAGAAAGATCAATTCAACGCGCAAGCTTTCACTCCTCCGATAGGAAAACCGTTTCCCGCCTTCGCAGGTGTCTTCCATCGGACGAAACGCGCAAGAATCGCGGGACCGAGGGTAAGCAGCCATAAAACAGCCGCAATCTGGACACGCTATTTACAACGCAATTACACCGACATAATAATCGTCGGCTGCGACAGTAAAGAGTCCGTGTATGCTCGTCCGGAGAGACCTCGCGGGCCTTTTCTCTCTCTTTTGTATATCTCGCGCGTTTATGCCTGACGATTATCCCTCCGAATGAAATTTATCGACGGCGATTCCCTACGCGGTGGACGAGGGTGTGCGAGAGCTTTAAGCTGCAGCAAGCCACGACGGAGGATTAACTTATGAAGTAAACGAGGGGAAAAATGGCGGAAGAAAAGGAGGAGAGAGAAAAAGTACAAAGTATCGAACCGGTCTTAACGTTGACACGTGAGAACCCGTAAACAGGTTGTAAAGGAGTCCTGTACCGTTTCGGACACGTGAGAATTCGCTGTGTGCGTGTACCAGGCAGACCTGCGAAGTTTTCACCACAGTTTAGCCTCCTTTGGATTGGCTATTTTAGCAGTGATAAGGAGGGCGTCAGGTTTTGTGCATAAATAGCTTAATGTACAGGGTGAGTTTCTTAATTAGAACAGGTTATCTCTCGTTACAGATAGAGAAACGTCGAATGCGGTGTAAGAA